TTGTACTTGTAATGGTTGATAAGATATCCACGTTTTCGTTTTCTCAAATACAAAGATTGATCAATTATGTAATATTCTACTTTTTTCGAACATGGCTCAGTTTTTACAATGTCATACCATTTTGCGTAATCATACAATGGAATAGAATCTAATTCTTCAGGCCTGTTTAGATAATAAGTATCAATCAGAGAAGGATAAAATATATCTGTAGATTCAGCATGTAACATCTCAATTTCTTTACGAGGCTTCAGTTTTCTAATCATATTTACATCTAACCATCTTATAGTAGTTTTCCTATCAGTACTGTACAATGAAATTCTCAACAAAGTATCAGCAGCTTCAAAAGCTTCACATTCTCGATGATTTAACATACGCATACTAATATTCCAAAGACAACTTCTTAAAGATTTTGTTGAATTCATTTTTTCAAATGTATTAATGTTACTTTTCTCTGCTTTGGAGACGTATTTAGTAGTATACCACTTCAACAATGTAGATTTCTCTCCTACAAATTGGATATCCATATTACCTTCCCAGGCAGTAAGAATAGCTGGGTTATAATCGTTAATATTTATTTCTTCTTTCGATTGAGGTAAATGATACAGTCTACTTTTTGTTTTCAACTTTCGTCTATTTGCAATAGAAACAGCAACATCACCAATTATTAAAGTATTTGTAACAGGACGTGAAAAATTAAATCTGCATACTTTAGAAAAATTTACTTTAGTTTTCTTAGTACGCAAACAATAATCATTATGTTTATGTTGTTGATGCATGTTGACACGTCGATATAACTCAGGTGATATAGTTTTGTTCGGCATCTTGCAAGTAACATATTTCAAAATAAAAGACGCAATCTCTTCTTTAGAAGATATACCAATTATCAGAGCATCTTTTATCCAAATTAAAAGATGGAAATGTTGAACGCCTCTACTTTGACATTTATGACGCCAAAAGTAGTGACTAACTTCTCCAATGGGATAATCGGGTGAGCAAATAAAATCAAGCATAGCTTTAAACTAGTTATCTATAAATCTTGAAGTTGACACTGGATCAAAAGCAATGAGCTCATTCGCAGACTTTTTAGCAGCAAACGGCTTATTTACTTCACGAAGATATTCTATCAAGTCTGCCCATAACCATTCACAAGGACTGAGAGTAAGAAACCAAGTAGCAGGCCCGTAGTGATGTATCATACAATGTAAATTACTTCTAGGTATTCTCATATATTGTTCCGTATTTCGTAACTTAGAGAATATGGTACTTAAATCAGATTTTAGCTGTTGCTGAGGTAGTTGTTCCAAATAAGTTCCAGCTGTATATTTTTCACGAGAATTAGTAATATTCATTTTGTGAAAAATTCCACTATTTAATTGCCGTATGTTATTGTCATGCAATAAATAAAACAAATATTATATATTTAATCGAAATTGTGAATGTTGAGACATAAGTCTCAATTTAATATACTCAAAATCAGTTATTCGCACTTTTCTTTCCTCATGTTGTCCGTTAACACCATATGCATATAAATCAGGAAAACATTTTACATCCAAATCTTTATTTCGATTATCTAATGGAATATCGTGAATTTTAAGCATTTGATAAAGCCTAGTTGCAGATTCATTTATTCTTTCTTCATACATAGGATATATTGTAAATTGATCATAATATTCATCTGATTGCGACATTTGAGTTAATAATGCTTCATGTTCTTGTGTATGTGTGTTACATTTCCTATTTTCATCAATTGTTTTCTCCAAAAATGTTTCTTCAAGATCACAATTCTCTTCTTCTTGAAATTCAACATTTTTTAGTTCGCAATCTAATAAACTTTTACAAGATTTTGGTAATATAATATCTAAATATATAGGGTTGTTTTGTTTTAACCATAATAATGCATCCCATATTTTTTTACATATACTAAATTTTCCCATACTATATTTGCTTTAGTTGGAATATCACGAACTAATATATATAGTTCATGATTCATATTAATAGGTTCAGTTGGTAAACAAATTTTATTTAACGTTTCTTTTAAAGGCAATGGCAAATGAAATGTTCTACCTTTTACTTTTGGTGCCAGATGTTTATGTGGTAAACTCTTATTCATTATAGTATTCGTTCTCTGCACAGTTTGAAATGCCTTTGCTCGTTGTATAAGAATTCGTTCATATTCATTTAGTGTTGTTATTTTTTCTGGTACTGATAACACTTCGAGCTTATTAGATCTACATGTTGAAGACATTTTGTTTTTTTAAAAATATCTACTACAAAATGTGCGAACTATATATTGCTCATTAAGTTGTAATCCTATAGTATTAGCAAAGTTACTCCAAACTGTATTATCATTTTTTTTAAAGAACTTTTATTATTACAATATCTCTTTTAAAGCAGTATTTTGTACAAGAAATACATACATACTTTGAAATATCTAGTGATCGTTTTATAAATGCCTTAAAAGCCAAATGATACTCAGATCGAATTTTATCTTCGTTCAGACTAATTTCTGTATTGGTCTTTATAAAAGTCTTTTCTTCTTCTTGTGCATTAAGCGAAATAGCTCGAAGAGTATCTATATCTGTATCATTTAATGCTTTATCTAATTTAGTCAGTTTTTTATTAATAGTAAATAAATTATATATTTATTTCACTATATACTCAGCTTCCATTCTACTTTCAGTTATCGATGATATATCAAGAAGTTGAGATATGTTTTGAATATATTTTTCTTTCGTGTACTTTATTTTTACATTGTTATTTATTAGAATAATACGATTGTACTTTTTTTAAATTTTTATAACTAAATTGTTTTTATATTTGGAAGTTACCGAATTATTTCTAATGTTATGTTTATCTGCTGTCTTACAGTTTTCTGTATCATTTTTTAATTTCTGTTTGTCTTTACACTCTTTATAATAAATCCTACTGTTTACTAGGAAATTATTTCTATGTAATTTATAATAGAGTTTATTGAAACAATGTTTTTCGTTTTTGTGTGCTTTATAATAAACTTTATTTTTTACTAAATGATTGTCCTTATGATTCTCATAATATTTCTTATTAACAATTCGTTTTTTTTCACGTTTTGTTTTTTTATTGTTTTTTATTTGAACGGAACTCAATTTTCGTGTTACGTTATATCTATTTGTATCTAATTCTCTGATAATATTGTTATCATTATCAGTAAGTCTTGCAACTTGAGGGAAATGCTCTATTTTATTTAATTCAAACATTTGTGTCAGATGTTGACGCATCAAGCTGTGATTATATATAACAGTATCTGGCGGAGTGTTGAAATAAAGTGACACTGCAAATGCAATTGCAAAGACTCCACAATCATTGCCATTAGGTTGAGTTTGAACTGTTGGAAAACATACCGATTGCGTACGATTAAAATCGTAAAATGGATACAACTTTTCCAGAAACGTTTTATGGTGTATATGCAGTTGTTTCAAATTCAATGAATCATAAATGTAAATTGTTTCTGTATTGTAATAACTGCAAACTCAATGTCCACCTGCATTTGTTGTCATATCGCTGCAACTATGCAGTATTTGAACCCAGCAAACAATTTCTGTTTTTGACAATTTCGGCGCAGACCTTGGTAACAGAAATTGTTTACAGAAATGCTACAATACGG